TGCCAGCAGGGACACAGTCTCTAATCCAGTTCAGAGATGTACCGTCCAGGAGCTAGTGAAGGAAGGGCTCTTAAAGGAGAAACCACAATTACTTCCTTTCTGTAGAGCTGACAGCTCCGTGAGAAACTGCCCCACTCCCTCTGTGCATAAGTGAGTTTCCAGAAGCCAAGGCAAGCAGTCAATCATTTTACAACAGTTACACAATTCTGGGGAGGGAGAAGGAGTCAAGGAACTTACCCTTTAGGAATGTAGAATGGATGCCTAGCACAAAACGGAGGTGTCCTGAGCCATCACAGTATATCTATAGCTTCATTGTTTTTTGTTTTTCAGTTGAACCATTTTAACAAGTGTGTAGGGATAGCACATTGTGAAGTATATTTATTAATTAATTTATTATCATTATTGGCTTTGTTTTTGTTTTTTTGGTGTGTAGTCCAGGCTAGCCTGGAACTCACAGTCCTCCTGACTCAGCTTCTCAAGCCCTGGGAATACAGGTGTGTGTCATGTCCTTGGTTTTCTGCCGCTGAGTTGTGAGTTTTCCAGTTTTCCCTGCACTTTATCTGCATGTCTGTTTTCAGATGTGTCATAGGTACTTGAACTATAACCCCGGGTGTCTAGGTAGTTTCCTCCCTCTCTGCTGTAGGTGCTCAAGGTTTGTCCTATTGAATAGGAGAAAGCACGTAAGATGAGTTGCTTTGATTATCAGCTTAACTAGATTAAGAAACCCTTAGGACATTAATGGCACACTCCTTTGGGTGTGTCTGTGGGGGGCTTCCAGACAGAACTAACTGAGGGATGTATACAGCACCATCTCATCCAGTGGGGGTGGGATCCTGGAAGAAGAAGCCAGCTGAGTGCCACCGTCGCCCTTTCTCCGCTTTCTGATCTGCTGGGATAGGAGCCAACAGCCTTCGGCCCCCCATCCCTTCCCCACCCCCTGGGCTGCATGCCCTGAGCCGCAAGGCAAAGCAAACCAGTCTCAAATCGCTTCCTGTCAGGTATTTCATTACAGACAAGAAAAGTAACTAATACAGAACATTAGTGCAGGGAGTGGGGTCTCTCCTGCGGCTTCCTGACCTTGGGGTATTGTTATTAAGACCACTACCACAGTTTAAAGCTAAATTTGAAGCAAGCTTTAATTAAACACTGGCCATGTGAATGGCGAGGTTCATACCCAGGTTCCCAGGAAATGGCCCTGAGTCACATTTTGCATGGGTTTAAGAAGGCAAAACCCATAACTCACCACATTTCCTGCTAGGTCCAATCAGGGGCAAGCATACATCCTAATGTACTTCCTACCTGCATACCTCCTGCCTATATCCAATCAGGGGCAAGGGTACATCCTGACATGTTTCCTGCCCATGTGTGATCAAGCACATGGGTGCAGATGGGTCAAACACACTTATTTAGGGGAGTGAAAACATGGGGCTTGTTATCTCCCATAAACAATATCCTCCAGCATTTCAGGAACTCTCTGTCCTTGGGCAATCAGGGGGCTTGCAGATCAGAGGCAGTTTTGTTTCATGGATCTCTAAGGCATAGTAATTAAAACTTAAAATGTAACTTTCAGTCTCACAGTAGGTAGGTATGTGTGCTATATTTAGAACTGTTTTGTGGAGGACCATACAAGAGTTTGGAGCTGTGAGCTAGAGAAGCCCTGGAATGTTGTAAGCAGGGGTTAATAGGCCATTCCAGTGGGAGTTCAAAAGTATGGAATGCCAATAGAAATGCAGGCAGTCAAGACTGTGTGCATGAGATTTTGGAGGGAACAAAGAGTGTCTGTAGGAAGTAGGCTAGAGGCCATTCATATTTTTCTCTGACACAGGATCCGGCTGTGTTCCAGCCCGTATTCTAAAAATCTGAGGCTGGATTCAAAAGTAATGGACTGAAGTGTTTGATGAGGGAAATCTCAAAACAACGTGCTGTTTGGTCTGTAGCATAGTTACTACTCAGTGTTCTTAGCCGTATTTGTAGGGAGAGTAGAGAAGAAAGATGTGAAAAATGTCCACTTGTGGTTTGGTGAGGAAAGAAGTATGGGCCAGTTTAAAGCTGCAGACAAGGGCTGTGGACAGAATGGGCAGTTGGTAAGGAGATTAGTGTAACTAAAAAGAAACCTTGCATTCTGCAATGGGATAATTGGAGTGGAGCCTTGAAGGCAAGGCCCCACCATGAAGGTTCTAGAGTTTGAACATGCAAAATCACTTTAGAAGAAAGTTCCTTAACTGACTGTACCACAGCAGAGGTTCCCTACTCTAAACCAGCTTCATAGTGAAACATCTTCCCAGGTTCTCCCACCTAGGCACTCGGAGCCTACTAAAGCTGTGGTAAAAATAGCCAGGCCACGTCCTGAGCTGCCAGTATTGCCGGTAGAACTTGACACCATTATCGATGTGGTACTGTTCTTTCAGACATGTAAAATACAAGTCTCGAGGGTTATTGTGGCTTGCACCAAGCTTTCAGAAAGCTGCTCAGGCCCGGGAATGCGTGACAGGGGTAGATTCCCTGCAAGAAGGCTCTGAGAGGCCGTTTCATGAGTTTGTGAGAGCTGGTCAGTGAAGCTAGTCCATGGGGTAAACGCAGCGTGCAGTCCTGACGACTTGAGTTCAGTCCCCAGAACCCACAATAGAAGGGGAGAACCAACTCTTAAAAGCCATCCTCTGACCCCCACACACACTCACACAACACACATACACATATGTCTACCCTCATATGCACATATCATAGGTACAAGCAATAATAAATACAAAATTAAAATAAAGCTGGGCGGTGGTGGTGCATGCCTTTAATCCCAGAACTTGGGAGGTAGAAGCAGGTGGATCTCTTTGAGTTCGAGGCCAGCCTGGTCTACAGAGCAAGATCCAGGACAGCTATGGTTACAGAGAAACCCTGTCTAGAAAAAAACAAAACCAACCAAACAAAATTATAGTCATCTTGTTGAAGCTGTGAAGGTGAGGCCTAAGCTGTAATGGAGACCTGTGGTGGTCTGAATAGGAACGGCCGCCATAGGCTCATAGATTTGAAGGCTTGGTCGTTAGGGAGTGGGCCTGCTTGGCAGGGATTAGGTGTGGCCTTGTTGGAGTAGGTGTGGTCTTGTGGGAGGAAGTGTGTCACTGGGGGTGGGCTTTGGGGTTTCACATGCTCAAGCCAGGCCCAGTGTCTCTCTCTTCCTGCTGCCTTTGGATCTGTTGTAGAATTCTCAGCTTTCACGTCTACCTGTGTGCGGCCATGCTCCCCACCATGAGGAGAATGAACTAAACCCCTGAACTGTAAGCCAGCACCAATTAAATGCTTTATTTTACAAGAGTTGCTGTGGTCATGGTGTCTCTTCACAGTAACGGAACACTGGCTGAGACAGAGGTGGTACCAGGGAGCAGGTGTTGCTGTGACAGGCCCGACTACGCAGCTTGTTGGCAGAGTGTGGACTTCGGGACTTTGGATAAGGAAAGCAGTTGAATGCTTTAAGTGGGGCTTAATGGGTGTCTTAGGGTTTCTATCACTGTGGCTTCATCTTGTTTCTTAAAACATGCTTTATGCTGATATTCAACTATGTGTTGGAAATTAAGGCGTTTCAATAACCCGTGTGGGCATGCCTCCCTTAGGACTCCTCCCACCCTCAGGAGTTCTCATGTTTTTGTAGTAAATCTGTTAAAACGAGAGAAAAATGACAAGTTCATGATGAGCTTCAGGCAGGGCTGAGTTCACACCAGAGGGTGTGATGGGCAGGGGAGGCAGAGGACCAGTGTTCTGATCTTCAGAACCCATGTGACTGGGGAGATGCGTGTGTGAGGACCAGTGTTCTGATCTCCAGAACCCATGTGACTTGAGCCATGTGTGAGGACCAGTGTTCTGATCTCCAGAACCCATGTGACTGGGGCCATGTGTGAAGACCAGTGTTCTGATCTCCAAAACCCATGTTACTGGGGCCATGTGTGAGGACCAGTGTTCTGATCTCCAGAACCCATGTGACTGGAGCTGTGTGTGAGGACCAATGTTCTGATCTCCAGAACCCATGTGACTGGGGAGATGCATGTGTGAGGACCAGTGTTCTGATCTCCAGAACCCATGTGACTGGAGCCATGTGTGAGGATCAGTGTTCTGATCTCCAGAACCCATGTGAAAACTGGGTGGCCTGCCTGTGAGCACAGCACATGGGAAACAGCCAGAATCCCTGGAGTAAGCTGGCTAGTCATCCTCTCTGCAGCAGCAAGCTCCAGGTCCAGCAAGAGACCCTTTCTCCATATATATACAAGGTGAAGAGTGATCAGGGAAGAAACCCAGTGTCAACCTGGGGCTTAAACGCACACACGCAAATGCGCACACACACACACACACACACACACACACACCACATATACATCCTTGAACACACACAAATACCACACACACATGCCGTGCACATACAGATGCTTGAACATACACATATACACACATACATACACACACCATACACACATGCCCAAAAAAGTCTAAAACATTGACTGACATGCCCATCCCTCAGGTTTCCTGTTGCAATCGTACCCTTAAATCTTTAGGTTCTGATAGCCATAAAAGGGGAGATGTCTGACGTCATTGGCATCGTGTTGGAATCACTGGCACAGACCAGTCACAACAACCTTCTGGAATCTACTTCAGGCCTTCTCTATGCAAGAAAGTGGCAGTGGCAGGGGACTCAACCCCTCCCCCTCCATGACAAGGTGGGACAGGTTCAGCATTTTATTTCTTGGTGCTTCCATGAGCTCATTTCGGAGAAGCACAAGCGACCGCAGTGAATGCCGCTCAGCAGATCTCACTGGTCCCCGTGAGGCCTTACGTAGTGGGGACCACGAGAGCAGAGTGGAGCCAGGCTCCTCCTCTCAGATCCAGATGTCAGAACTGCAGTCACCCCCTGGGTAACGAAGCTCGTGAGCCAGTGCTGGACCAAGGGGTTCCTTCCCAAAGTCTACCAGAAAGTTGGGGTTCAACTTGAGCCCTCCATTTACAGTGTCTACATCAATTTGCAGCATCACGGAGCCTTCCCTGGAAGAGAAGAAAAGGATAAGTGAGAGGTCATATGTGACCAGCTCCCCACCCTAAGATTTGGTGAGTATAAATGGGTTCCTGGGGATGGGTCAGGGTCCAAATGGGCCATCTGTGCGGTGGGTACAGGTGGAGTTCCTGAGGAGTCCTCAGAAGGCCAAATGATCTTTCTGGGTAGGACAGTTAGAGGGGTGATCCTGGGCAGGGCTGCTCACCTGGTAAGATCAGGGTAAAACTGCTTGTCCCAGGCACTGTACAGTGAGGAGGTGACGTAAAGACGCTTCCCATCTAAGCTGAGCTGGATCATCTGAGGGCCTCCAGGAATTCGTTTTCCCTTGGGGAAACAAGAGGTCAGACTCCAAGTAACATACAGAACGACTAAGGTGTTGGCACACGACCTGGATCCCAAGAGCATTCCTCCAGATACTCCTTGGGAATGGATCTGAGGGGCCGGTGAGGCCAGAGAGGTGTTCTCACCTTGACCACGACGGGCTCCGGCTGACACTTTAACTCTTGGTCCTCCAGCACCTGCACTGGGCCTCCTTTAACAATGCTGCCCCCAAGGAAGATCTGGGTTCAGGGGTGCAGAGGACAGAGGGGGACAACAGGGATGATTAATTTTCGTTATCAACCTCACTAGGCTGTAGAATCAGCGAGGATACCTCCCGCCCCTGGCCAAAGTATCTGTGGGGCGTTTCAGAGAGCTTTAATTAGGAGGGGAGATCCACCCTGGCCCTGAGTGGCACCATCCCCTGGGCTGGGATTCCAGACTGAATAAAAGGGGAAGACAGGCTGAGCACCAGCATCCAACTCTCTGCATCCTGTGACTGCATGTGTATCGTGCCCAGCTGCCTCGCACTCCTGTTTACACATCTTCTATGATGGACTCCTCCCTTCTCCACCAGGAGCTGGACTAGACCTCTCCTTCCTTTGTCCTTGTTGGATAGTTAGTCACAGAAGAGTGGACATTACAGAAGAGCTGTTTCCCTTTATTAGAATTCCTGTGTGTGTGTGTGTGTGTGTGTGTGTGATAGCATCTCACCATGGAACTGACTGGCCTGAAACTCACTATGTAAACCAGGCTGGCCTTGAACTCAAATCCACTTCCCTCTGTCTCTCTACTGCTGGCCTTAAAGGTGTGCTCCTCCACTCCTGGCTAGTCTCCCTTTCGTTTCAGACTCCTTCCCTGTGTTCAGCCAGGACTCTCCAGTCCTGGGCCTGTGCCTTTGCTCACATTTTTGCTTTTCCTGCCCCTCCCTTATCACCCCCACCACCACCACCCGAAGCTTTCCAGCCTCTGTGCCTTGCCCAGACTCTCCTTCACTACTAGTGCCTCTACCTGCCCAGCAAGGCGGGGCTTCTGTGGGTTAGAGATGTCATACTGCCGAATGTCCCCATGCAGCCAGTTGCTGAAGTAGAGGAAGCGGTCATCCAGGGACAGCAGGATGTCAGTGATCAAGCCTAAGGAGTGGGTTGAGGGACTTTAAGGAGTCTTTCTTCCAGGCCAGGAATCCACCTGCTGACTCCCACCTCTCCTGGCACTCACCTGGCATTTCGGGCAGCATCCAGCCCTTCACTTTCTTGGAGGGCACCTGGATCACCTTCTCCACTGACCAGGTGCCTCCCTACAATGGGCAAGGGAGGTAGAGAGTATGCTTAGACCTGGGGACAGGAAGGGGCAGACACGGGGCTTTGTGGCCAGGGTCTCCTTCCCTGCAAGGCTGTAAGGCAAGGAGCATGACTGCTTCATCATGGCCCCACCAGTACTTGTCATGACACAGATGCTCACTAAGCAGATTTTTTTTTGTTTTGCTTTTTGAGACAGTCTTGTGTAGTTCAAGCTGGCCTCAAGCTCCTGTCCCTATGGCCTCCACTTTCCAAGTGCTGGGATCTTAGGTGTGTACCACCATACTGTAACCTTAGGTGCTGTGGGATGTTCTGTATGCTGTGAATATGTGTTGCTCTGATTGGTTGGTAAATAAAATGCTGATTGGCCAGTAGCCAGGCAGGAACTATGGATGGGATAAGAAACAAGGAGAATTCTAGAAAGATGGAGGCTGAGCAGGAGACGCCAGCCTGCTGTCCAGGGAGCAGCATGTAATGGCACACAGGTAAAGCCACGGAACACATGGCGACATATACATGAACAGAAATGGGCTGAGTTTAAGTGTAAAAACTAGTCAGTAGTAAGCCTGAGCTAATGGCCAAGTAGTTTTAGTTAATATAAGCCTCTGTGTGTTTACTTGGGTCTGAGCAGCTGCAGACTGGGCAGGACACAGCTACATCTTAGGGTTTTTTGTTTTTGTTTTTTTATTTTGTTTTGTTTGTTTTTAAAGACAGGGTTTCTCTGTGTAGTTTTGGTGCCTGTCCTGGATCTCGCTCTGTAGACCAGGCTGACCTCGAACTCATAGAGATCCACTTGGCTCTGCCTCCCAAGTGCTGGGAATTAAAGGTGTGCACCACCTGGGGACTAGGTGGAACCTTTAAGTAATTAAGTCAGAGCTCCCAGAGGATGGATTCACCTATGAGAGTATTCATGACTATCTTGAAAGTGAGTCCTTTAATAAAGCCAGTTGTCTCTTACACATGGCTGTCTCACCCTGTGATGTCCCTGGAAGCAAAGAATTCCCAAGCCTAAGAAAGCCTTCACCAGATGCCATTCCTCAACCTTGGATTGTCTAACTTCAGACCTATGAGCTAAATAACTTATATTCCTTAGAACCTGTCCTGCCTGTGACACTCAGTTGCTCAGTTATAGCAACAGAAGACAGCCTTAGGCAAGGTGGGAATCAGCCTGGCACAGAGAGAAGAGAGGTGGGTCATATAGCAGCATTTCTTCCTGGGGAAGCTTAGGCTGCTGGGACCAACTGTGGACACTGAAGCCTGGGAGGAGGTCCTGATGAGACTCTTGTAGGAACAGTGGGGGGCATGGCGGGGGCGTGGCGGGCAGGCTCAGTTACCTCATTCTTGTAGAAGCGCTGGATGGTGGAGCTGAGGGCGCAGCCTACAAAGCCCTGAGTGGCATCTGGGTCATGCAGGAAGCGGACCTCCAGAGGGATGAGCCCATCCTTCATTTGTAGGGTCTGGATAATCTCATGACGCTTCCAGTCCCACACATTTATGTGGCTTCCATACAACCCTGAGGTGGGAGGGGATAGGGACCAGAGGCTGGAATCAGGTCAGGATGGGAGGGCATGGGAAGAGGCTGGGTGCTGACTAGGGTGGAGAGCTGAAAATGGGCACAGAGGACTCTTGAAAGGCTTGGGCATTCTGAGCACCTGGCATGTCATAGCCTCTTGAGTAGGTTAGAGAGCTGAAAGCAGGGGTGCGGACCAAGGCTCCTGCCAGCCCAAAGGTGATTCTCACCGGCCTCCACGTCAGCGGGGTTGAAGCCATCTCTGAGGACATTGGGAGCTGCCCACTCAGTGCTGATCATGACATTGTGTCGTGGTTGGTACCAGAAGTCATAGCCCAAAGGAGCAGCACCCCCAGGCTTCTCCCACGTCCCTTTCACCTCGAAGGTCTCCCCATCCAGCAGCACAAAACCCCCTGAGCAGGGAAGAAAGGGGCTTAGGTTGAGGGGGTGAGCCATACTGTCTTTACCACCCAGCTGGCCAGATCCTTAAGTCTGGGTGCCCAAACATGCGTTTCAGAGATGGCAGGTGTGAGGTAGGGCCCCTCACTCTGTACTCTTCCTCCTACCAACTTCATCCTCCTCTTAGAGCTCCGGGGAGAATGTCCTCCCTGTGAACAGAGTTCTAGGACCCAGCCCTGTAAGCATCTTTTGCCCAGCCTGCCGTACCACAGTGGGATTCTTCCCAGAGTCTAAGCTTTGCTGGTCAGGAAAGAGTCCCGGGCAGCTCCAGGCAGAGCTCCAGGCATGGAAGCCTGCTGTCCTTTGTGTACTCAATACTTTTTCCTCCCTCCCTCCCTCCCTCCCCCCCCCCT